GAATGTAAGTAATTACTGTAATAAGGTTACGTTTATGCAAAAAAAAGTGAGGGATTACTTTTTGTTTTAATATTAATGTCATTGGCGGATTGGTCCAGCAGAAGCAGTAATGCGGTCTTCTAATAGTCGTGTTCCTCCTCTATGTGACCGGCTCCGCGCTCCAGCTCAGGGCTGGTAGGGGTTTCTGGAGCTGGTCCAAGAGAGAGGAACTCGGATCACCTTTAGTCTCTGGAGAAACACTGCAAGAGTTCAGGATTTCACAAGTGCAGCTTCAGTCTGTCCTCAGAGAATGAAGCAATGGAGGAGCTGTTCTGCAGATTATTGCCTCATAAAGGCAAAATTATTATTGCACATCATCTGAAAATTCAATCATTCATTCAGGATATGTGTGCTACCCAAATAATGACTAAAAGTAAGTCTTTGAGGACGGGTTTCTCAAGCCAGGTGGCGCATTAGACCAGGGGCTCATCTCCTGTTTCCAAAATGCATCACAAACTGCTTGAGAAACTGTTTTACTCTGATAATTGGTGATGAAAATAAAGATATGTTCAGATATGGATAAACAAAGCATGCAGCACACAAACGCTTGGCGCATAAAATTCATTAAACTTATTGCATGTACTATTATCGCGATATCGATGTGTTTTCGATATTTTGTGCTGCCGTAATTTGTCCATAATTGTATACAACACTGCTTTGGAAAGCTCAGAAAATGAAATTCCCCTCTTAAAGCTCTTCAAAGTGTCCTGAGAATCGCAGGGAACCGATGAATGACTGTGATAGTGAAGTCAGGCTTATCTTGGGTTCCAATGGCAGACGTTTGGAAAGCTTCCCGCCAGACACCCTCCATGTTCCCTGCTCCACTGACGGATTATAGCAAACCACTGATTAGTGTCCTCTCATTCAACCATCTGTCTCCTGGGCTGTTTAAGATGCAGCTCGAAGCTCATCCTCTTCAACTTAAGTAGCGTTCGCTTTTATTAGACAACCTCCAATCTGTAGTGGTGCAGTTTAAGCAGTTTGAGCGATCTTTTATGTGACCTTTTTGTGTTATTGGCAGCGACACTGACCTTAAATCAGCATCTGCCTGTTTTATTACTGTTCAATGTGTTGATGGGTGCTTGAGAATGTCTCATGGAAAGCAGATCAAGGGCGTCTTTGACATCAGAGGTTTCTGTTTCTATTTACAGCTCGTGAAGATCAGTGACTGCTGGAAAGTGTTGGTTGTGTGGTTCATGTCCGCAAAGTGATTATATAGTGGCAACTGCTGAGTAATTCGTTAACTGTATATTGATGTGTAATATCCTCATCCTGTTTATCTTTTAGGAACTGCTCCAGGCTCAGTGGTTAGCACTGTGGCCTCACAGCAAGAAGGTCGCTGGTTCGAGTCTCAGCTGGGTCAGTTGGCTTTTCTATGTGGAGTTTGCATGTTCTCCCCGTGTTGGCTTGGGTTTCCTCAAGTGCTCCGCTTTCCCCCACAGCTATAGTGGAATTGGATGAATGAGAGTGTATGGGTTTTTCATGAAACACATACTGAAATAGTTGGTGGTTCATTCTGCTGTAGCGACCCCTGATAAATCAGAGACTAAGCCAAAGGAAAATGAATGAATGAACTGGTCCAGTTGGCCACCTACTTATATACTCAACCATAGTTGAAGTTGTTTAATTCCTTATTTTTTAACGACGTCTGCAGATTTTAGCTCCAACTTGCCTCAACACACCTGTAAGGATGTTTCTAGAAAGCCTGGTAAGAGCTTGATTAGCTAGCCCAGGTGTGTCTGGTTGGGGTTGGAACTAAACTTTGCTGGACACCGGCCCTCCAGGACCGAGTTTGGACATGCCTGGTTTAAACTTTACGACATGTCCTATATCAATGCTCTGATTTGCGTTGTACCTTTTGGCTCATTCACATGACGTTACAGCAGCCAAATTAAACTGTCAACTCAATGCTATTGGGTTTGAAATGAAGACGTTTGAACACTCTTAAAATCTATAATGTTCAGTTGTCATGAAATTAAGCCAGTTGCTTTATTCATTCTGGCTGCTGTAGTCAATTGGGCTTTGTTGTTAACTGGCCAATGATGGATGGATGTGTTTCTGTGTGTTGTGATGCAACGTCTGGTTTCTGAGCAAGGATCGACCGTGGACTGATGCTGACCATGATTCAGCTAGATATATTTCAAGTTTTATTGACGTAATTCTTCGTACGAGCGGGCACAGCCATTGGAATCTTTCTGACTTGAGACTATTTCATTCACTTCTAACTTGGTTATTCTACTTGGTTACAAACTGATATTAGAGTATTAGATTGAGTAGGGTTTAGTTTGGGTATAGTAGTAGGTATAGTTTGGAGCTATTTTGATACCGGTGCCAAAATAGTGCCTGAACCGATACTTTTTTTTTCTTTCTTTTTTTTTTTAATAATTATTTTTTAGGGGTTTTTCACCTTTATTTTTGAAAGGAAAGTAGAGAGAATAGACAGGAAAGCATGGGGAGCAGAGAGAGGGGAAGGATCGGCATAGGACCGTGAGGCGGAATCGAACCCGCTCTGAGCACCGGAGTGCATGTGTCGACGCACTAACCACTACACCACTGGCGCCGACCTGAATCGCTATTTTTGAGCCACAACATATTGTGGAAGACTCTACAAAATCTTTTATTTGACAAAAAAATGTAATCATTTTAACTGAACAACATAATTAAAGTTTAAAGCATAGGTCTCAAACTCAGTTCCTGGAGGGCGGCAGCTCTGCACAGTTTCGCTCCACCCCTGATCAAACTAAGCTCATCCAAATAATCAAGGTGTTCCAAAGAGTCATGAACACCTTTAGATGCATCAGCTGTGTGTGATCAGGGTTGGCCCAAACTGTGCAGAGCTGAGGCCCTCCAGGAATTGACTTTGAGACCTATGCTTTAAAGTATCAATTCATATTTTATATATTTAACATTAATTTAAGATTTGCATTAAACAATTAACATTACATTAGCTTACTAGGGTTTGGGGCTTGTGAGTACGTTTACGTGGACATCAGTAATCTTAATGATTTGCCTTAATTTGAATAAGACAATAATATGATTAAGGTGCATTTTAAATGTTCTTTTTATTATCCTGTTTTACATGTTATAGTATATAAATTGATTTATGTCATTGCGTCACCGTGCTATCCACGTTTCCTATAGAGTTTCATGTAATTTCGGGTGTTTTATTTTTAATTGTAGGGATGCACCGAATATTCGGCAACCGAAATTAGTAAAATAATAAGTAAAAAGGAATAAGTAAAAAGGTTGAATAAATTTTGCCGAACAATGATGTTTTTAATGACGCAATCAAATAGTAACCCGCGTAGAGTGAGAGGCGCGCACTTTATGCAGCACTAAAGCGTCTTTTAAACAAAGGGGCTGAAACAGACCACGGAGTGAAAACAGCTAAAAGTGCGCTCTTAGAAGCTGTCAGCACACGATTTAGTCAGGCGGACTCAGAACCCCTGTACTGCATCGCGACTGTGCTTGATCCACAATATAAAGATCATTACTTGGATATGGGGAAAAAGCTGCGCACACGAGAAATGATCCAGGCCGAGTTGGACTTGGGAAAGCCGCTAGGTGTTAGAGACGGTCAGGTGATGCACAGCGCAGGAGATGAAAACAGCCCAGAGAGTAAACGGGCTCGTACTACAGATGAGCCGCGCGCCGACAGCGAGAGACTGTTTAGTGCTGCATCTCATGTCATCGATGAGAAGAGGAACCGACTTTCATGTGAGACAGCAGAGAAGCTACTTTTCATAAAGAAGAACCTGCCACTTTTTCTGAAGAAGTCGGCTAACAGGCTTATGGCTAGGACAGTTATTCATTTGTTGTCATCCACATTTTTTGCACTATTCAGTGCACGTTTGTTGTTGTAGACATACAGTTACATTCTTTCAGCAGCTATTCAAGAAGGGGGGCTTCAAAGATGGCCAAATAAAAATATTTTTTTATTTTACTAATTTATTTATTTTAAATTATATTGTGCTTTGTTTGTATATTATCTGCTGGAATGTTAAAAAATGTTCAGTGTTAAGTATTTTTGAAATTGTATTTTTGTTATTTGATTTGTTTCTGTGAAAAGCTAATTTTTACTATTTAATTATTGTAATGGTGAAAAAAACGGCAAACTAAAAGGAAAAAAATGCAAAACACCGCGTTCAGTATTCGGCCTTCGGCCAAGCAATTCATTATTATTCGGCTTCGGCCAAGAATTTCATTTCGGTGCATCCCTATTTAATTTAATTGCAGTTCAACAGTTTCACTTGCATTCAGCAACATTGTTCATGCCCTGTGTCAAACTGAGGTATTGGATGCGAGTATTGAGTATAGGGACTGGTGGAAGAGTGTTGTTTTAATGGAATTTGATACCGCACGGCAAATAGAAAGAAAAGAACTCTGCATTTCATAACGCTGTGTCTGTGGTCGTTTACGGTAATCAAAAATCGCTGTTTACATGGTAGAGACTCAGACTATTGTCGCACGCTGGATCCGCATGTCGCAAGCTATTGTGTTGATTACATGCGCGCTCAAATGTTTTATTAAGTTTGATGTGTTTCCCCCCTTAAATGCAACTTTTTTAAAACATCTGCTTCGTGTTGCTGTGTCAGAATGATGGTGTGACACAACGCGTACCTATGCATACCTATGTGTGCCTTGCATCTGTGTCGCAGCATTAGTGGCACTAAAATTCATATACTGATTTGGTCCAGTGCATACGGGTTACATAGGTATGGCACCGAGTTTAGGTAACCAACCCTAGTCATGAGCACACTTGTTTGTAGAGCAAGTAGTTTGACTGTTTTCCACCGTGTATTACTCCTAGTCTTTACCCCCATAGGCAACTGAGTCAGAAGATCTAAAACAATCGCATAAATGAGCGCACTTCCTCGCAGAATAAGGTCAATAAGAGCAGCATGCTTGTGTCTTCAAACATCATGTTATACTCAATATCCTTTGTTCTTTTTGTTCTGCAGGGCAACAATGTGGGTTACTGGGAAGGGGAAGCCAACAGGACCCTAAGGCTTGTGTAGATGTGCCTCCTGACCACCCGAGTCGTCTGAGAAGGTCAGACCTCACTGTGGCACCCTTGGGCCGCTGGCACTAAGATGTCCCTCAGTAGTGGCACTGCAGGCGGGAAAGGTGTGGACTCGAATGCGGTGGACACTTACGACAGCGGGGATGAGTGGGATATTGGTGTAGGCAACCTGATCATTGACCTTGACGCAGATTTAGAGAAAGACAAGCTTGAGATGTCCGGCACCAAGGACGGGGACGGAATGGCTGCTGCCTCCAGTGCCGTAGCGGCATTGCCAGACAACATAAAGTTTATTAACCCGGTGCCGCCTCCGCCAATTAAGGACAGCAAATCCAAAGCGAAACGTAGCAAGAATTCCAAGGACAGTACCAAGTCCTCAACCCCAGATGGGGTCAAGAAGGATGCCCAGGGACGGACTCAAAATGAGGGCGCTGGGCCAACTGCTGGAAACCTACCTTCCGGGAAAGGTTCTGATAAAGCTAACAAGGCCTCCCGTAATGTTCAGAGTGGAAAAAAGGACAAGGAGGCTTCTGGGAAAAGTAAAAAGGAGAAAAACGAAGGAGTACAAACTGGGAATGTGCCCTCGGAAAAGGACTCGTTGGTCCAGGTGATACCTTTGGGCCAGGCACGCAATACCCCATTTGAGGCGACGCAAAATTCGGACCTCGTTGGTGCTGACCAACTAGGGAATATAACCCTTGATACCACTGGAATAATCACACCTTTGGCTATCAAGAGTGAGCCAGAAGAAGTGGAAAATAATGATTGCAGGTCCATGAAGAAAGTGAAAAGCGAGAAGGTGAGTTTCTTTATTTCCTTAACAGTAAGGGTTTTGCGCTGTTTAGAAAGCCTTTGGATGCTTGTATTGCTCCGTTTGCAAAGTGACGACATGTGATTAAAGGTATCTTTTCTATGCTAATAAGTTTTTTCTAGTAGCCATCCATGAAGTGAAGAGCGAAATCTCCATTTTAGAAACTGTTTCTATTTCTGTGACGTCACGGCTCAACAACAGCCGAAACTACTATTACAATGATCACCCTCAGGTGCTGATTATGTGCTTTATTCCGTGCTAAATGCTACCAATGTGAGTTTTGATACCATTTTAAGGGACATTTATTGCGATACTGATAACACAGCAGTTAATAGTTTATCTCAGATCTTGAAAATATAATAACTAGCAATCAAAGTCAGATGCACTTTATGCATCTGCACTTTAGTTAATTTTTAACAGGTGTAGTATTATTTAGATTATGAACTGTACTGCTTGTTTGGGATTGCAGTGCAGTGTTCTGCACTTCTGAATTGCTGGTGTTTAATTTCTCAGTCAGGAGCGGTCAGTCAATTTGCTTGTCACTGGAATCTTGTTACGTTGCGTGCACTTAGGACACGGTGTAAGTCTGTCTGGTTGACTATTATAAATAGTGATTGTGTAGCAGCACAAGTTGGATGCCAATGTAGTTCCAACGCTTTAGCGGTGAATAGTTTGTGACATGCGGTGTGTCAACCTACTAGTGGCATTGCTTTTTGGCTGTAGTCCATTTTAGAAAAAGCAGAACAGTCATGCTTAGCTCAGTGGTCTCTGTCTCTATTTAGTAACGTGTATTGCTCTGTCAAAGGAGATTAGGGATACAGGCCAGATGACCAGAGGTGCAAGGTTATCAACTCTGAGAACTTGGCTCATTAGCTAGAATTTAACATGCCATGCTAGCAGGTTTATTGGCCTAATTGTTGGTGATGAAACAACCAACCTCCAAACTTGTTAGCCTTTGGGTGCTTTCACACCTGTGAGTTGATTCTTGAAACAGGGATTAAAACTGTTACATTGTTGCTCTTTGTTCTTGGAGCGGTTCGCTTTCACACTGCAAAGTTTCTAACCGGACCAAAAGAGCTAAAACAAGTCAAGTGTGAGTAAACTCTCCTCACATTGGTCAGAGTTTTACGGTTTATTTTGCAGAGTCTCGCTCAGCTTTCAGGGGGGATGGTGGTTTGGTGTTTGACAGGGTGCACGCGACGCGTTTAGGCTGATTTATACTTCTGCGTCAAACATTTGCGTATGCTATGGCGCTGACGCATAGCCCTTCGCCGTGGCCGTCGCTGACGTGCACCTCTCAAAAAATGTAACTACACGTCGCAACAACGCGTAACGTAAGCTCTGTGATTGGTCGGCTTAGTAGCGCTGACGAGTCTGGGCGGGACCGAGAGTCGCGCGAATGGCGCAAGCGATTGTTTACAAGTGTGGAGTCCCGTGAAGGAGCTCCGGATGGAAAGTTTTGTTTTGTGTTTACCTCATAGTTAAAGTTGTTGCACGTCCGCCGGTTCCTGCCTCAAAATGAGTGAGTTTGAGCCACATGTACATTCAAGAAGTGTTCAGGAAAAGCAAAACAGCAGCGAAGAAACTCGACACAGAGGAACATTTACACCTCGCTGCCAACTAGCGTTTCGGAAGTGTTAATGCAGACCAACAGAGACAGCAGCAGAAGTATAAATGCACAGCCACGCACGTTGCATGCATAATTCATGCATTTTTTTTCGGCTTACTCCCTTATTTATCAAGGGTCGCCACAGCGAATTAAACTGTCAGCTTATACAGCAAATGTTTTACACAGCGGATGCCCTTCCAGCTGCAACCCAGTACTGGGAATAGTCTTGTAGCTTCTATCAAAACTAAAACACATGCAATTTCAGAGCCCGATTGAAGTTCCTGTTGCTCAATCTTGTTTGTGTAGAGCTGTTGGCTGGTTATAGGGGTTTTCTCGATTATTCATTGCTCAATTACCAGCCTCCTAGTTCCTAAGGAGTTTTGGCAGCTGGTCTAGATTTGCAGCTTGATCTCTCATGTTAAAACAAGAATCCATGCCACGACAGATTGTTCTTCGAAGAATGTGGAGTTCAGCTTATTCCCCACAGATGCAGGTGTGCGTTTGCTAGCTTGAGATCTAAAGATCACTGAAGACGAATGCATTTAATTGGCATGGCGTTTGGCTAAATTAGCAGTCGTCTTGTTTGCGGTCATTAAACTCTGAGAATATATTATGTTGCATTGCTCTTTAGTTGTACGTTGACTAAGCCTTGCCTGTGCTTTACAAAGTGAGAGACTGGCGTATCTGCTTACAACAGATCTGTGAAATTCCTGGCTTGTGACTCAGTCGGTAGTTGCTCATACTCACAGCATTGTGTTCCCTACCTAGTGGGCCTCCAGGGAGCCATTGAAATGTAACACTTGGACCCCATGCTTGCTCTCAATTGTGACAGGCAGCCAAATATAGACTACTGGAAAAAGCAACACAGGGTTTTCTTTAGACAGAGTTGATGGTGTTGTGTTCGTCCTTGAAAGAGATTTATTTATTTTTGTGGTTAATTATGGATTACCCTGATGAATTGTTTTCTTTAAAGCATTAATGACCTTGTTCATTGTGTTGGTTTTTAGTCCTGATACAGTTTTCACATACATTTGCATTTCATGATGGGTGTTATGAACTAAACTGAAGACCTTGTTGAACTGAGCATGTTACCAGGATTTCTGTTATTTTATTTTTATTGTTACTTATTTTTCTATTTCATCCCTCCTACAGTTCATGTTATAATTTGACTTCCTAGAAGCTAGACTTCCAGAAGATCCTAAAGCACTGTATATTTGAGTTGTACAGTATCGTTACTTTACTATATTTCTCAATGTTTGTGATTAGTTTATTATATGTTGTTGTAGATACACTAGGGCTGCTCGATTTTGGGAAAAATCATAGTCACGATTATTTTGGTCATAATTATATTCACGATTATAAAAAACGATTACTGTTAAAGTCAAAATTATTAGCGCTCCTGAGAATTAAAAAAATAAATACAAATTTCCCAAATGATGTTTAACAGAGCAAGGGATTTTAACAGGATTTCCTCTAATATTTGTTCTTCTGGAGAAAGGCTTGTTTTATTTTGATTTTAGCTAGAATAAAAGCAGGTTTAAATATTTTGAAACCCATTTTAAAGTCTATAATATTAGCCCCCTTAAGCAATATATTTTTTGATTGTCTGCAGAAGAAACCACTGTTATACAATGAACTGCCTAATTAAGCCTTTAAATCACACTTTAAATCTGAATGCATGTATTTTGAAGAATATCTAGTCAAATATTGTGTGCTGTCAGCATAGCAAAGATAAAATAAATCAGTTGTTAGAAATGAGTGATTAAAACTATTATGTTCAGAAATCTTCTTTCCATTACACAGAAATTGGGGGAAAAGAGTTGCTAATATTCAGGAGGGCTAATAATTCTGACTTCAGTGTATACATACAGGTATTTTCCTCCCTGCAAAGGGAAGAGAAATAAATACAATAGAATAGAAATATGAAGCAAACTGTGCTTTAAGCAATTCACTGTAAGAAAAACACTTTAGCTACAAAAACCCTACAGTCAAGAGCAGAGAGGCATGTTCTCCATTTGTTGTTTGATTAATGATAAAAACAGGCGGCAGCAGGAACATCGCGCGCTGTCTCTTTAATGGTTTCTCTTTCACGTGTCTTTTGATCCTCAACTCGTTTGTTTATTACACAAATGAGGGTTAATATGAATAATCACTAAACACCACGTTATGACACCTATTTGACCACTAAAGCGCTCACGTTATGATGAGATGTGTGCGCTCTGCTGAGAGCGAATGCTGACTGCATGCTTCTGTCTCATGCTTCCCCGCGGCACACAGAATCATGCGGTCTTTCGTGCTTTTAAGAGCAACACAAGTACAACTGGAAAGGGGGCGGTAAATGACGCAATAATCGTTTATCTCGATTAATGGTTTCTCATAATCGTTAGAAGGCAAAATCGAAATCGGATTTCCCATTAATTGCACAGCCCTAATGTATCTAAAGTTGTAAGTTATAATGTAAATAAAAAGATATAGGACTAGATATTCTTCAAGACACTAGTGTTCAGCTAAAAGTGACATGTAAAGGCTTCACTAGGGTAATTAGGGTAAAGTTAGGGTAATTAGGCAAGTCATTGTACAACAGTGGCAATCAGAAACAAATATAGCTGAAGGGGGCGAATAATATTGACCTTAAAATGGCTTTAAAACTATTAAAAACTGATTTTATTCTAGCCCAAATAAAACAAATCAGACTTTCTCCAGAAGAACAAATATTAGAGGAAACACTGTGAACATTTCCATCTGTTCAACATCATTTGGGGAATATTCAAAGGAGGGTGACTTATTCTGTCTCCAGCTGTATATCGTAGAAAATAAAATATCGTAATGTCCATTTTCTCCAATATCGTGCTTCACTAAAGTAAACGATCGCTTCCTAACTCCTGCCGCAAGACTGGGATCCTCACAGATCTCGAGTTTCCTCCTGCTGGATTGTGTTCTTGTGGTAAAAAGAGCTTTGTTCCTGGTAGAAACCATTATAATGTTCCACGACAAATGGCCCCCATTCACGGCTTCCTCTGACTGCCGCTATTGTCTTCTGGTACATTCCTTAAACAAGCGCAGGGGTTAGCGCAGGGCCTCGGGGAGGGACTACAAGCGCTCAAACAAAACACAACATACCTCGTCCTCCAGCCTCTTAACAACCAGATCTGGAGGTGTGAGCAGGGGATGCTATCGAGTGTCGGGGAGGGGGACCCGACCAGCTTTTCTGCCGTTTCTAAAGTGGTTTCACATTTCCACATCCTGTGGTTTGGGCGGGGTGCTGTGGGCTCCAGACATCCGACAGCAGGCACGGCTTGTTGTTTAGTGCAGGAATGCAGGAGCTGAAGTACCTGCTGTTTTGGGCTGGCAAATCCACTAATACTGCACACTCAGCCGT